CCTGTCCCACTATCATGCTCAGTCCCCACCAGGATTTCAGCACTTCCTCTTTGTTACGTTCCCCTTGATCCTGCCCTACCAGGGCTGACCCCTTTATCACACAGAGTTTACAGATGGGAAACCTGAGATTAGTCCTTGGTCAGTGGCAGAGCGAATATCCAGTATCAAATCTTGTGCTTTCAGCCACGGCTGTGCCCCTCATTTCAATACAACGGCACTTGCCATCACAGGACACTTTTATATCAGTGCTGAAATAGTGGAACAAAGACTGTTTCCCTGTCTCGTGCTTCTCACTTTGCCGCCCAGGATTTACAGCTGCGGAGAAGACAGTTACGGGAAAATGGTCCAAGACTCAAATGGAAGCTGACCACTATTAACCAGGTCTCAGGATCTAAAATTATCTTTTAGAAAACTAATAGAGTCACAGAAAGGCAGTGAACCAATGCAAAATGTTTACGGGATGAAAATGCTGCTAGGTGCTATTGAATCCGTTGAAAATCATGGGATTCTATGTGCAGCAGAACAGAAATGCCACCCGGTCCTGCACCACAGTGCGGCTATGTTTGAGCCCATTGTTGCAGCCACGGAGCCAGCTCATCTCATTGAGGGTCTTCCTCTTTCCCTGAATCCCAACTTTGCCAAGCATGACCTCCTGTTCCGAGGACTGTCCCCTTGACAACATGCCTAAAATATGTGAGTCGAGTCCTGTTCGCCTTACATCTAAGGAACGTTGTAGTTGTACTTGTTCCGAGCTAGATTTGTTTCTTCATCTATATAGTCTATATTTTCCACCAACACTTAAAATGAAAAGCATCCATTCTTTTTATTGTCATTAGGTGCGGTTGAGTTGGCCCCAACTTGTGGCCACCTGATGGAAACGAGAATCCTGCCTGGTCCCAGGACAACGTCACAATTGTTCTGATGCTGCGGCCTAGTGTTGCAGCCACTCTATTAATTTATCTGATCAAGATCCTTCCTCTTGTTCACTGGCCCTCCACTTTATCTAACATCCTGTCCTTCTCCAGGGACAGCTCTTTCTTGATAACATGTCCAAAGTACAAGAGATGCAGTCTCACCCTTCTTGTCTCTAAGGAGCATGCTGGCTGCATTTCTTTTGGCACTCTCTGGTACCTTGAAGATTCTTTGCCAGCACCATAGTACAAATGCATCGGTTCTTCTTGGTGTCTCTTTGTCAATGTCCAACAGCCACATGCATATGAGTCAAGCGAAAATGTCACGGCTTGGATCAGGAGCATCTTAGTCCTCAAAGTAA